TCCTACACAAAATAACTCAAATAAGTCATTGAACTCTTCCATCATTCTACTTAAATCACCAAATGTTGAAACTTTACAAATTAATCACTAACCCGGCATGGAGGATGTTACACTTTCCCTCCTAACTTCTCTAAAGCCAAGTTAGTCTATCAGCTTATAGGCCATATTGCTTGTCTGGACTGCAGCTTCTTCCATATTGCTTATCTGGACTGCAGCTTCTTCCATGACATTCTCTTTTTCCTTTATCTTCTGTGTCACTTCTCGAAGTTGTTCATTTTCCTTGGTAAGAGAACTTTTATGTTCAAGAAGTTCTTGGACTAGATATTCATATATGTTGCAGTTCTTTTTCAGCTTGGTGACCCCTATTATCCACTCTTCTGGGGTGTTTCCTATGCCAGCATTTCGAAAGGCTTAACTGATCTTTTGGAAATCTGCATGCATGATTTCCTTCTGTGCTCAATCTTGTTTTGGTCATTCAAGTCCTTCAAATAACATGCTTGAGCTTCATAAAAACCTCCTCTACTCTGAATACCCTGACTGATGCTCTTACCATAGACTGCTTTTGGTATCAATCTGGCAAGACCTTCAGTTACCAAACTAGGTACATCATTTATCATAAATTGTAGGGTTCCATGATACAAAAGACTTTGGACTCGACGTTTGAAGGCAAGATAATTCTCAATGGTATGTCCTTGAGCTCCGACATGATATTCACGATAAACGTTGATGTCATACCAATTCGGATATGGAGGTTGGAACGGTTTTATGTAATATGGCGCCACTTCTCGTGCTTTAAGTAGCTTTTCATACAACTCTTTATATGATATAGGGATAGCATCAACATGAGAACCGCCTTTTGTCTTGGATTGAACCTGAGTTTTAGATGTTGGGAGCAGACTAAACTTTGACGATTTCAGATTACATTATTTTTCTCATCTCTGGGATCTTTTATAGTTGTCACCATTTCTTTGGTAGCTCCAGACAGTTTGTGAATACGAATGATGATTGTCTGTAATTTCTCAAACTGGTTAAGATCAGAAGTTCCTTCTATATCTGAAATTGCAGGATTATTTTCATTGAACTCTCTCTCTTTTTGTGCAGGAATCTCTTTTCTTTTGGCCAAAACAGATATTTTATCCATTATCTTGGACATCTGCTCTCTTATTTCTCGTATCTCCTTTTGCTCTTCAATGGGCATACGATCTTTGAGTGCATAGATCTCCTCTATCCTCGGATTTCCCTCCGGATATCATTCCATGGTTGCATCATATTTTGTTCGATCATAAAACGTTTTGTCCATTTATGATTTCTTTCCAATTTGATGAACAGTCTTTCAAGTCAACACCTTTTGGTTATGCCATGATCATGCAATGTAGATAAAAGAAATTAATATGAACAAGTTAGAGCAAAATAACATGCAGTAAAAAAGATAAGAAAAAAAATAAAATGGTTAGTACCAATTAATAAAAAGAAAAAAATCCTATCTATCATGGTATATAAATCCTAACCTCATGCTTTCTAGTTTCATGCTTTGTTTGGAAGAAATTAACCTAACTGCACGATTTCTAGTTCGCATGCAGTTATTCAGGAAAAAGAAAATAAAAGAAAATAAATTAAAAGCTAGAGCTTATTTCTCCTTTGTGTACACCTACGGACAGAGGTTCAGTACAGTCTTAGATCAGGAGAATTTCTAGGGTTTATTATATGCAAGGTTTCGGTTCTAAAAGTAAAGGTACCCGAATTATCCTTGTTGATGCCCTTTTGGGCTGCCAACCCTCAATCCTAGTCCATTACAGACTTAAGCGGATCGAGTTCAATTCGAGGGACACATTTCTCTATGTCTGACACGGAGAATAAATTCTCACGAAGACATAGAGCATATGAACCCCGAAAACTACTTGCTAGGTCTGACACAGAGAATAAATTCTCACGAAGACGTCACTTTCACTCTCACTTAAAAGGGACAAGCTTGATTATAAAGCTTTATGTTATGCATTGGAAGTGATGTGTGTGAGGAGAAATTTTCAAACCTCTAACAAATAAATAATAAAATTTAATATTTGAAAATAAAGCATTAATTAAAATAACATATAATATATGAAAATAATAAGTATATATATAAAAATTTTGAAAAGAAAGAATTAAAAATTAAATATATGAATTTTTAATTTTCTAATTAATAGAGACAATTTATAATTAATTTCAAAGCTTGACAAAGTCCCAGTGGAGTCGCCAAGCTGTCGTAACCGGTTTTCGTCTGAGCACGAATTTTTTACTTGGCGGGAAAAATAAAACGAATAAATAAATGATTTTGATTTAAAAAATATTTTCGGAGTCGACATTGACCTTTTTGGGTTAGGTAGGTCAAATACCTAAAAATTATCTTTTAAAAGAGTTTTTAAGAAAACATCAGTTAAAAGATAAAATGGTATGCGTTTTAACCAAAAAATCGTTCTTTTTAATAATAAAAAGGGATTTATGGTCGATTACGTTTGGGGAATGATTAGCACCCCCACAACGCCCAAAATTGGTACTTATTAATTATAAATTATCTCTATTATTGGAAATTTAAAAATTCAAATATATTTAATTCATAATTCTATTAAATTTATTAATATATATTTTTTATTTTTATAAATAAGATATTTATTTACTTAGAAATATTAGAAAATGACTTCTAGGTGTTTTAAGACATCTCTTTTCTTAATATTAAAAATAAATAAATATTAATAAAACATTTATTAAAAATAGTAAATTATTTATTTATTTATTTAAAAATATCAGAAAATGGACATCCAGTTGCTTTAAGACTGCCCTTTCTTAATATTGAAAAATAAATATATATTTAAAATATGATTATTTTTCTTAAAAGTAATTTATAAAATTAAGTTTATAAATAGGATTTTTATTTAATAGAAAAATAAAAATAAACAAATAAATATTATCTATTATATATATATATATATATATGACTTAATAATAATAATAATAATTAAATATATTGAAAATAAGCATATAAAATCAAAATATAATTAAACAATGTCTAAAACAAATAAAATTAAAATAATAGGATTAAAATGCAAAATATAAAAATTAATAGAACTTATAAATAATGATTTAAACTAAATATATTAAAATTAAAAGCTTTTATTCAAAATATTATGAAATATAAGTGATTAAAAGTGTAATTTACTCTAATAATTAACACGAGATTAAAATAAATTTAATAAAATTATAAGGGACTAATCCTAATATTTACCCTAAATATATATAAATACAGTTAATGGCTAGAATATAATAAAATAAAATTTAAATATCAAATTCGAAGACATATAAGTTAATTTTAGTGACCAAAATAGAATTTAATAAAATATGAAGTATTACGCGTGTGGTTTACCCAAACATAATTTACAAAAACACTCCTCCCCAAAACGACGTCGTATGGGGAGGGTATTTAATACCCAAATAACCGGCCCTAAGGGCCATCTACTTCATTTTCCTTTCTTTTCTTTTTTTTAGAGAGAGAGGCTCTGCCTTCTCTCTAAAACCTCCCACCGGAGGTTGGTCGGCCACTGGCCGGCAACCGTGCTCCGGCGTCGATCGTCGCCGTCGGTCACCGTATGTGGTGGCCTAAAATTACAAATCTTACCCAAATTGAAGCTCTTTCGATATTAAAGCCGAATCCGACCTCCTTTCATGCTAAAAACCCCTAAAATTTCCTAGATCTATGAAAATACCTTCGGTATTTTCGGTTCTCCGACGACGTTTAAGGTTCTCCGGTAAGGTCAGTTCTTCCTTCTCTTTTCTCAGTTGGTTGTTGTTTGCTATGTGTTTGTCTGCTCTATTTTCTGTTCGTATATTCTTCCTCTCCGTTGGTTGCTATGTGTTCCTCTATTTTCTACTATTGTCTTCTGTCCGTTTCTTACTCGCTGCCTTTTTTGTTTGCAGGTGAACCGAGGCTTTATAGCCACTCCGATGTCCTTTTTGGACCGGTACCAAAGAGGGGTTTTCGGTGAGTCACCAAACATGGTGGTGACTCACCCTAGATTTTGACGTGTGGAAGAGCAGCTGGCTTCTGGAGCCTTCGTCGGAGGCGTCGTGGCAGCAGCAGAACGTCGGTAACATATGGTTGGGTCATCTGGCAGTGGAGTGTCGGTAGAGGCGTCTGGAAGCTCTTAGATAAGGCGACGGCGGCGAGCTAGGGTTTAGAAACCCTAGCAATAACCCTAAACGGGTTCTAAGTATATTAGGCCTTCTGGGTTGGGCTTGTAAACTGGGTCTGAGTCTTGTAATTGGGCCTGTAAAAATTATTTATTAATAATAATAATAAAATAATTATAATAATAATAATTATAAAAATAAAATCGGGATAAAAATTTAGTGTCTACAGAAGGATCAAATTGAACAAAACATAAAATTAAAATTTAATTGTAAAAAAGGAATTTTTGTCATAAAAATAGAAATTGAAGTTGCAAAAATAATAAAAATGAATTTAAGAGGAAAGAGTAATAAAAAATAAAGAAATCAAGTATTAAATCGCTAACAAATAAATTATTTACTAAGTACTAAATTGATGTCGTTTTAATTTTTAATTGTTTGATTATTTAAGTTTTATAAATTCAAATTCATTCTAAATTTAAAATACAATTAAACTTCAAGTTTGCTCAATATTTTAAATAATTTAAATTATTCGACTCAAATAATTTAAAATTTTAAAAATTAGTGTACCAAGCATAAAGCAACTTTAAAGACGATAGCCGGTGCATGCATTATTTTCATGTTTATCACAATATTCATGAAGTGGTTTAAAATGAATGCAATTTTGTCCTCCCATGTCTCCTCGGTATTAATTATCAGTACGGTGGTCATTAATGGGAGCAACTAGCAACCGTATGCTATGCTTCATGCTTCCAAGTTCCCATTTTTGAATTGTCAAGCTGCCTACACGTAATTTATAAGCAACTAGCAACTGTAAAATTCTTCAACTCTTTATTTGTTACTTTCCATTTAGCATTAGCAATGTCTCTCATTGAAACATTCTTCTCCATCTTCCTAATGCTCACTCTTCAACCATCCACAAGCATTGAATTTTGCGATGTTTTATGTGGGATTCAGCCGATTCACTTCCCTTTCCGCCTCAACACCCAACCTAGTCGATGTGGGTATCACCGCTTCAATCTCACCTGCAAAAACGAAACGCAATCCACCCTTACGTTACCATTTTCCGGTGACTTCACCGTCGTAAACATCGACTACATCTTCCAAAACATACGAATCAACGACCCCGGTCATTGCACTCCAAAACGTCTTCTTCAGGGACTTAATCTATCGGGCACTCCTTTTGAATTGCTACATCCTCGAAGCTACACGGTTTTCAATTGCTCCTCTGCTTCACCTACAGCACTAAAACTGACTGAAGCAAGGTTTATTTCCTGTCTTAGCGGCACGAATTCTTCGGTCGTGGCTGTACCGACTGAACGGCTTGATTCGTCCACATCATTGACGGCGTCGTGTGCGGAGATGGCAAAGGTTTTGGCTCCACTTTCATGGACTGGTTGGTTGGAACATGGTGAGGGTATCATGTTGACATGGAAAGAACCTGATTGCAGGTTGTGCGAAAGCAGGGCTGGGACTTGCACGTTCAAGAGTGATAGAGGCATGGATGTCGGTTGTTCCGGTGGTTTTAGCAATGGTATGTTCTATTTTGCAGTGAAACTAATCGGTTAATTTGATTTGAAACTTGAAAATTGTTATATTACGTGTAAGCTTTTGTCTAAACCTAACTCAATGCATCCAAATTTACCGGATACAAAAGTTTTTTTCTCAGGCTTTTTTTTTGGGATTAATTCTCAGGCTTATATATTATTTGAACTAATTACTTTTAATAAAAGTTCAAAGTACCGAGTTATGAATAATTTTTTCGATTAATCTGACTATTATAATTTAGTACTTGTTCTAAATATTCTTAATCTTTCGACAATGAAAGTTTAAACATTTTTGTAGTCTATGATGCTCGAACATGATATCTCTGGAAATAACAATTATTCTTTTAACTACTGAATTAGCTTGATTCGTGCATGAATAATTTTTTTTAGAAATTAGTTTTACAAAATGTTTAATTTATATATCAAATGTATATTTAAATTTTTATTTTAAGTTAAGAAATGACATATAAAAAATTAACTTGGATACGATATGAATATATTACAATTTATATAATATTAATTATTAATGTATCATAATATTATATGAAACTTTAAATACGATTATAATAAAAGAATTACAAGAAAAAAAACTCTAAATTTTAAATGTGACTAACGATTAGAATAATAGAAAAGTATCAACAACCAGTTGGTAGCAGAATGAGGTAGTAAGTCCCTTAAGTAAAGTCAGGGGTTCGAATTATGATGTTTACGAATTGAATAAATTGGGTTGGGAGGGTTGCCTTCGCCTCTGTAATACCCGATCTGAATTAGTCGGTCAATAGATCAAATACCAGTGATTAATTTAAAAAATAATAGAAAAGTCGGAAAAAATGCGGATTGATTGTCACATTTTACACACTCTTTGAGACTTTGACTATATAGATTTAATTCCTTGCATGAAGTAACATCAGGTGCGTGAATAACATTGGTTTTCTACTTTTCTTTCGGTACAATGAATAACATGTTATTTGAACACAGTGTATAAATGCACAACACATGGATCAACTTAGGTGAACAAAGGCAAATTTCAATTTGCTCTCGAGATATCCACTAGTGTTAAGGTTGCTTTCGGATATCCGACATTAATGCTGCATCAATAATGTGTTATTCTAGCCAATAATAAATTATTCTCGAATTTTAATATTATAAATAGAAAAAATAAAATATATTAGAAGGATTACTTTTATAAATGAATCCATGTAATCTCTGATACACAATTTAAATAAATTAAATATTAATTGTTAAAATATAATATGTTGTCCACTAGTACATATTTCATTAACTAATTGTCTTTTTTTTAATTACATGTAGGCCTTAGCATTGAAGCTAAATTTGGCATAATGTTTGGCGTGGGAATACCCCTCTCGCTCATACTAGGCCTATTAATTCACCTCAAGGTAGACCATCGCCGCAATGATCAAAATCCCAACCCGGAAGCATCTTCGGTAGTCAAAGGTCTTGATGGGCAGACCATCGACTCATATCTGATGACACTGCTTGGCGAAAGCCGGCGATTAGCGAGGCAAAGCGATAACACTTGCTCTATTTGTCTTTGTGAGTACCGAGCTAAAGAGACATTAAGGACTATTCCAGGTTGCAGCTGTCGTAACCGATTTTCGTCCGGGCACGAATTTTTTTTTACTTGGTGGGAAAAGTGATGTGAATAAATGGTTTTTAAAATAATTTGGGAGTCGTCATCGGCCTTTTGGGTCAGGTAGGTCGAATACCTAAAAATTATCTTTTAAAAGAGTTTTTAAGAAAACATCAGTTAAAAGACGAACTGATCTGCGTTTATAACCAAAAATTCTTTCTTTTTAATAATAAAAAGGGATTCGTGGTCGGTTACGTTTAGGGAAGGATTAGCACCCCTACAACGCCCAAAATTGGTACTTTTTAATTATACATTGTCTCTATTATTAGAAATTTAAGAATTCAAATATATTTAATTCATAATTATGTTATTTCAAATAATTTTAAGAAAATATATTAATATGTATAAATAAGATATTTATTTATTTAGAAATATCATAAAAGAGCTTCTAGGTGCTTTAAGACAGCTCTTTTCTTCAATATTAAAAAATAAATAAACACCTAAATCATTTTCTTAATAAAATAAAATTAAACATATAGTTCATAAATAGGATTTTTATTTTATAGAAAACAAAGAAAATAAATAAATAAATATTATTATTATATATTTATATGACTAAGATAATAATAAAATAATAATTAAAGTAATCATTTAAACATATTGGATTTGAAATGATAATAATACAAATTAAATTGTAATTAAATAGGGACTAAAACATATTAAATAAATAAAAATATTAAAAATTAAAATTTACAGCCCTTATTTATAGTATTATAAAAAATATAATTACTAATGATGTAATTAACCCTAATTATTAATAGGTGATTAAAATAATGATCATTAAAATTAAAGGTTCTAAATTGAATGATAAAAAGATCTAAGTACTAATAATATAATTTAGCCTTATTTAATTAATTCAGGTTAAAATGATATTTACTAAACTGTAAAGGACTAAATTAGGTATTTACCCTAAATAAATATATATGCAGATAAGGACTAAAATAAAATAAAATAAAATATAAAGACTAAATTTTAAATAATTAGAAGTTGATTGTAGTGACTAATTTGTAAATAATACAAACTCGAAGTGACCGCGGACGAGGTTTTCTCGTGAAGGAAATTACGCACATACCCTCGTCAAAACGGTGTCGTTTTGATGAGGGTATATAAACCCTATAACCGGCCCCTAAGGGCCAAAGCTTCTCATTTGCCTCTTTCCTTTCTTTCTCTAAAATGAGAGAACCAGAGTTCTCTCTGGCTTCTCTCTAGTTTCCCTCGCCGGAGGGAAACCGGCAGCCATAGGCCACCGTACTCCGGTGTCGATCACCGCCGCCGACCACCGTTTACGGTGGCCGAAATTTACAAAATACCCCTAAAGCGTAGATCTAAACGTCCTAAGGTCCGATCTAAGGTTATTTTAACCTAAAACCCCATAATATATCGTAAATCTACGATTTTCACCTTCGGCGTTTTGATTTTCCGGCGACGTTTAGGGCTCTCCAATGATAGAGTAAGTTCCTCTCTTCTCTTCTCTTTTATTTTTTTTACTGGTTTGTTGTTGTTAATTGGGATCGTTGGTAGCTTTCTGTTTTCCTCGGTTTCTTCCTCTCTATTTGGTTTCTGGTCTCCGTTGCTTGCTGCTCGTGCTTTCTCCTTTTTTTTGCTCTCTGTCCCTCTTTTTTTATTTTGCAGGATCCGGTGGCTTTTATAGCCACCACCGAGCCATGCTCGGACCGGTCTAGAGGGGGAAGTTCGGTGAGTCACCGAGCTATGTGGTGACTCACCCCATAGCCGTGACATGTGGGGAGCAGCTGGCCTTCTGGAGACTTCTGGCGAGGGCAGCGGCAGCTGGAACGTCTGGAAGCAACGGCGGCTGCCACGTGGTTGTTCTGGAATATTAGAGGCGGCTGGGGATCACTGGAAGTAGTGGCTGGGAGCTAGGGTTTGAAAACCCTAGCTGAAACCCTAAATATTTAGGGTTTCTGGTTGGTCTGGGCTGGTTCTGTTTTGTTTGTAACTGGGTCGGTCCAGTTTTGTTTGTAACTGTTTGTAAATAATAATTATAATATAATAATAATTTTAATAATAATAATAAAAACAAAAAATGGAAAAAAATTAGTGTTTACAGCTGCCCCTCTTTGCTTATTCTTGTGTTAACAAGAATAGAGCAAAGACGGAAAAACAATAATTTTTTTCATTTTTCTTCTTTTGAGTAAGACTGAAATGTTGAAAACATCATTCCAGAGGTCTTAAAAACATCATGCACTGCAGGACTTACAGATGACCCTAAGGTTTTGAAAACATCAAAAAGCTCCCGAAGGCTTTTTGGAAACATCATGCACTGTAGGACTTACAGATGACCCGAAGGTTTGAAAACATCAAAAAGCTCCCGAAGGCTTTTTGGAAACATCCTGCACTACAGGGTTTACGGATGACCCGAAGGCTTTGAAAACATCATGCACTGAAGGACTTACAGATGACCCGAAGGCTTTGAAAACATCAAAAGCTCCCGAAGGCTTTTTGAAAACATCATGCACTGAAGGGCTTACAGATGACCCTAAGGCTTTGAAAACATCAAAAAGCTCCCGAAGGCTTTTTGGAAACATCATGCACTGTAGGACTTACAGATGACCCTAAGGCTTTGAAAACATCAAAAAGCTCCCGAAGGCTTTTTGGAAACATCATGCACTGTAGGACTTACAGATGACCCTAAGGTTTGAAAACATCAAAAAGCTCCCAAAGGCTTTTTGGAAACATCATGCACTGCAGGACTTACAGATAACCCTAAGGCTTTGAAAACATCAAAAAGCTCCCGAAGGCTTTTTGGAAACATCATGCACTGCAGGACTTACAGATGACCCTAAGGTTTGAAAACATCAAAAAGCTCCCGAAGGCTTTTTGGAAACATCATGCACTGTAGGACTTACAGATGACCCGAAGGCTTTGAAAACATCAAAAAGCTCCCGAAGGCTTTTTGAAAAACATCATGCACTGAAGGGCTTACAGATGACCCGAAGGTTTTGAAAATATCAAAAAGCTCTTGAAGGCTTTTTGAAAACATCCTGCACTGCAGGGCTTACGGATGTGGGAAATAGTTTACTAAGTAAAAAAACTAAGGAAATCGTTTTCTTACATTTCAACAATTTCATTTTTAGAAAAGATTGAATGAGAAACTATGGAAATCATTTTCTCATTATTTTTCAAAGTAACAACATCAAAAAGCTCCCGAAGGCTTTTTGGAAACATCATGCACTGCAGGACTTACAGATGTGGGAAATAGTTTACTAAAAAAACTAAGGAAATCGTTTTCTTACTTTTCAACAATTTCATTTTAGAAAAGATAAAATGAGAAACTATGGAAATCGTTTTCTCATTATTTTTCAAAATAACATGTTGATTGGGTAAAATGCCCCAATTTCAATATAATGCTCATTTTTGTGGATTGCATCTATCTTTTCTTCAGATGTTTGCATGATTCCTGTATTTGCGGTTTTGAATACATTCTTCTTGTAAGGTATTTCTTACCATGAATCTTCTTGTTCTTCCGAAGATCTGTAAAACTTCATGTTTGAATGCACTCAGATGTATCAATGTAATGCATTGTCTATTGTGTAAATGATATTCTTATGAATGCATGAATGTTGATGCAATCTTCATTTGACTTCAAAGTGGTGAACTTGGTCTTCCTTCACTTCATCATTTATTGCCAGGGTTATCTCTGGATATTAGTGTAGAAACTTATGCTATCAAGCTTTTATTTCTGCAGAATCATCTGATCAACTTGTATCTTAGCGTCTTCTTTGTTTCATGAAAGTCTCAGAAGAAATGTTTCATTTGTGGAACTCTTGCTGTAGTCAAAATTATGACCCTGATGCCCCATTTTGTCTTGGATAAAACCAACTTTATTTGCTTGGACTTGTGTGTAAATCCTATAAAGCTTTCATCTTTGAAAAGAGAATCTATCATCTTTAAAAAGAGAATCTATCATCTTTGAAGAGTGTAGATGTAGATATGCATGACTCAGCATGGATTAATTAGGAGAGTAGAGTCTGTTCTAATTTAACTCTTGAAACATCATAAGGAAGATTTATTCCAATTCCTTTCATGTCTCCACATATAATCAGATCTCGAATAAGGCAACTTGGACTAATATCATGTCGATATGCTTAACAACAACCTGTAGTTCAACCTTAGTTGACCCCATTATTTTCTTGTTTAAAATTTCAACTTTCCTTGGAAAGAAATCTTCATTATATCTCACTTCTAATCTCGGGGTTGAAGAAGACAAACTTCATCTTGGATCAATAAATGGAAACCATATGATTGCAACATTGGTTCAGCACCATAATCAATGGTTCGTAAAACATTTAACAATACATTCATCTTTTCCTGTGGTTTCTGCTCAGATTATTGGTCAAGGAAGCATTTGACAACACATTCATCCTTTTCTGTGGCTTCTGCCAAGATTTCTCAATCATTGAAGCTCTTTGCCTAGTGTTCAAAGATTTTGTATGATGTCACAAGACCATTTGAGAACAAAACTCAATGGGGATACAAGTGATATGTTGGTATGACTAAAAAGTTGGTCAAATTCACAAAATGTGCTGGTGTTGAATTGAATACGAAATACCAACTGATCTTGATATCATCTCTGGCAAAGGCAAATGTAATACTGATTATGTTTTCTTCTATAACTGAGTGTTATAGAAAGTAGAAACACTTCAGCTATAGGACCCATGTACCGAACTATATTCGTAGAATTCTTGCTGCTGGTGATGAAACGCACATGATAAAACCCCAAAATAGATAAAAATTCAGTTCAGCCTGGCTTTGAAATGATAACCCTAGTAACAGCGGGAATGGGTAATATGTGTAAGTCGAGCTTCTCTCTTCAATGTCATCAAGTAAACAAAAACTAATGTGAAAAATAGCTTCATAACCTCAATAGTATGGTTGAAACTAACTGCCAGGAACCTCAAAGAAATATTTTCAACTATCACAG